AGAGATACTGGTGAAACCTTTTACCTCAAAGATTACACCCAGCGCTTCTCTGTCCAGTTGTGAACAGTTCTCCGCTGTTTGTAATGTACGCGACGCGAATGCTATGAGACGTATGGATCCATCTTTTTCACAGTGGTACAGAACAGCTCCGATCCCTAAAGGGGATGCGTCACACTGAAGAATGAGTTGTTTATTAGGATCATAATGAACTAATGTTGGTGAAGAAGCAATGGCTTGTTTACCTTTAATGAAAGCGTACTTGTGACGAGAATTCCTGCACCTTGGCACATTTTTGTGCAGCAATTCATTTAATGGAGATAATACTGTAGATGCATTTGGCACATAACAAACGAAATTCGTCACTGTTTTTCGGCGCCGGACTTTCTATAATAGGTTTCATTTTGCCATTTAAAACATGCAACCCACGCTTATCCAGCCGGCAACAAAGGTAACAAACGGAAGAAGACAGGAATTCACATTTGGATTTCTTTATTTTAAATCTGCTTCATTCCAGTCGCTCGAGCACAACAGCGAGTGTCTGAAGATGTTCTGTATCACAGCGTCCCGAGATAAGAATATCGTCCAGATAAGCACAAGCTAAAGGTATATCCCTCACTAGATTGTCGATAATCCTCTGTAAGATGCCGGGTTCAGAATTAATACCAGAAGGCAAACGAGTATATTGAAAAAGTCCAATAGGTGTGGTAATAGTAGTAAGCTTCCTGGAAGGCTCGTCGAGTTCTATCTGCGAATATGCATGGCTGAGATCAAGCTTGGTAAATTTTTCACCACCAGTCAGTTGCGTACAAATCTTCAATGAGTGGTAGCGGATACCTGACTAACATAGAAGATTGGTTAAGTCATTCTATATTACAGAAGAGTAGTAGGGGGAGTTGAATGGTATAGGTAGAATTTCATCACATCTAGGCTCACTCAGACAGCCGCCACAAGCCCGGAAAAGCACTGTACGCGCGTTTCATCCTTTCGGGAATCATCAGCAGTGCGCATTCCATCGGACCCTTGGTAGGGCTCGAAACCGCAACTCGACTGTTGCCAGTCCGTGGTTGAGACCACTGAGCTACGGGGGGACGGCAACGACCATCGTGAATAAGTTACTAGATGTGATATAGCGCCGCTCACTATCCACTGACTTACACGTTACTACCGTGCAGAGGACAGGGTAGCCCCCTCACCAAGCGACGAGCTTAACAAACTTAAGCCGCCAATTATCTTATGGCATTATAAGCAGTTTGTTCTGTGTACTGATTACAGAAGAGTAGTAGGGGGAGTTGAATGGTATAGGTAGAATTTCATCACATCTAGGCTCACTCAGACAGCCGCCACAAGCCCGGAAAAGCACTGTACGCGCGTTTCATCCTTTCGGGAATCATCAGCAGTGCGCATTCCATCGGACCCTTGGTAGGGCTCGAAACCGCAACTCGACTGTTGCCAGTCCGTGGTTGAGACCACTGAGCTACGGGGGACGGCAACGACCATCGTGAATAAGTTACTAGATGTGATATAGCGCCGCTCACTATCCACTGACTTACACGTCACTGCCGTGCAGAGGACAGGGTAGCCCCCTCACTAAGCGAGAATCGGCGCTATATCACATCTAGTAACTTACTACTCTTCTGTAATCAGTACACAGAACAAACTGCTTATAATGCCATAAGATAATTGGCGGCTTAAGTTTGTTAAGCTCGTCGCTTGGTGAGGGGGCTACCCTGTCCTCTGCACGGTAGTAACGTGTAAGTCAGTGGATAGTGAGCGGCGCTATATCACATCTAGTAACTTATTCACGATGGTCGTTGCCGTCCCCCGTAGCTCAGTGGTCTCAACCACGGACTGGCAACAGTCGAGTTGCGGTTTCGAGCCCTACCAAGGGTCCGATGGAATGCGCACTGCTGATGATTCCCGAAAGGATGAAACGCGCGTACAGTGCTTTTCCGGGCTTGTGGCGGCTGTCTGAGTGAGCCTAGATGTGATGAAATTCTACCTATACCATTCTATATTACTCGTAAGTAACAGCGTTTTAGTTGTAATTTTATGATATTCATCCCAGTTGTTCACGAGCTGCATAGCACAGCCTAGCCCGGAAAAGCACCAAACGCGTTTCGCCCTATTGGGGCTCGTCAGTGGTGCGCATTCGCTCGGTCCCCTACTGGGGATCGAACCCATGATCGCCAGAGGCAGATGCCAACTAGTCAGCAGCTTAAACCACTGAGCCATGAGTGACGTTGGCTGAACTGCATAATTTGCAATCTAACTGGGATATGTAGCTTGCAAATTATACAGTTCAGTCAACATCACCCATGGCTCAGTGGCTTAAGCTGCTGACTAGTTGGCATCTGCCTCTGGCGATCATGGGTTCGATCCCCAGTAGGGGATCGAGCGAATGCGCACCACTGACGAGCCCCAATAGGGCGAAACGCGTTTGGTGCTCTTCCGGGCTAGGCTGTGCTATGTACTTTGTGAACAACTGGGATGAATACCTTACAAATAACGGTCATTTTCTAGTCACCACAAACCCGTATGGAGCCCGTCTGGCTTGGTGGTTGCAGGTACAATTGGTGTACCCTAATCAGAAAATCGTACAGGGGTAGTAATACTTTGCTTTTGTAAACGGGTTAATTCTTCTTCCACCTTAGGCCTCATGGCGTACGGTAGTGTCCGCGCCTTGATGAATTTGGTCCGATTGTTTTCCTTTAACAATATAGAAGTCTGGAAATCGATGGTTCGGCCATGTGTTACGCATGCCAGCCCACCGACTCCCGTGACGTGCGTTGTTTACGCGCCGGGAGTTTGGATGGAAGAAGAGGAGGGGTGGCCAAGCGATGACTTGGTCGAGAGGAATGAAGGCCCTCACTTCTGAGCTGGCTTCGGTTGGAGCGTCTCGGCTTCCTGGTTTGGGTCCGAAAAACGATGAACACGTTTGGTTGGACACACTTGCTGATATGGCAAAGAGCCGACCTCAGTGGCGTTCGTGCTGTGAGTTTCTTTGTCCCACCCCATCCCTTTTAGCCTCCCCCTCCAACCACGATCTCATTATTTAGCCTTATATAATTTTGCTTAGTACTTCTTCTTGGTGCACGGTAGCCGGCTGGTAGCTTATCGGAACGATGCCCATCCGTTACCGGTAGCTCAGCCGGCTTGCACCAGTTGCATTTTTTTCTTTTTTCTGTGTATTGCGGCACAGTAGCTGAGGTGTTCCCCACCTCTAGCTAACGTGTATGATGTATGATGATGAGTCTAGAAATCTTTCAATTTTCCCAGGCCTTCGGCAAAAGCAGCTGAATATTACTTTACTAATGCTTTAACTCCTGAAACCCCAGCGACTGTTTTTACTACCTCCAGTGTATCCGGAAATGCGCGTATCCAGTCCCTTCCAAGCAGATTTGGGCGATCTCTGGAGACCACATATACAGAAAGTGTCTGTGTCCTGTCGCCGTATTGTACCTTTACCGAGCATTTACCAAGGACACGTATCGGTTCGCCAGTGTATGTGGTGAGAACAGAATTGCAAACTGATAAGGGCGGTAGCCTTTTTTACAGCATTTTTCTTAATTATCGTTACTGATGCTCCTGTATCGATTCCATCTGCACCTTTTCTCAATCTAAAGCTCTAGGATGTACGGTGAGGATCGCATGTTGAGAACTTTATTCGATTATATGAACTGCAATTCGGACTCGCTTCTTTCTGACTCGCCCACTGTTTTAATTGATTTCGTTCCTCAACAATTCTCGTCCAAACGACGTTTGACCGATCTGCATACTCGCGCCAAGCGATCAATCTTTCCGCAACTTCTGCATGCTGTCTTGATGTCGACAGTCCGAAGAACCGCTAAGGCGATTTCCACAGCGATAGCATACGAACAGACTGACGTTATTAGGTGTCTTCTTAGATTTTGGAGTGCTACGAACCGATCGTAAATCCTGCGATAGGTCTTTTAGAGTAAATGCTGTTAGTTGCTGGGTAAGGTTTTCCCTCTGGCAGGCAAGCAGGCAGGCTGTCTGCCACGTCAGCGAAAGACCATCTTGTGAAAGCATTTGCTCCCAGGTATTCTCGTCTGAAATCCCAGAGATCAGGCACTGAAGCGACATGTTCTCTTCAAACCTAGCTGGATCGGTTTCATTGTATTTACAGGTTGGTACCGCCTGGAGTATCCGAGTGTTAGATTAGTTTACACATTCGTCTGATTTCTGGGAGAGTTCAGAGAAGAAGTATCTAGCTGTAAACGCACTGACGAACTCCCCAAAGAGCGCTGAGTGTATCCGGGGCACTGGTTATAGTGAAGCAGACTTTGTCAATGCGAAGGGCGTCGAAATATCTATGACCTTCATCCCCTAGGAATTGTCGTAAAACTTTTACTTTGTGTTTCTCCGAAAGGGACTGCCGGATTCAAGATGGAAACAACTGCAAATAATCAAGAAAAGTTTTTCGCCATTGATTACAATTGTCCAAAGACGGTTTATCGGTATAACAGGACCAGAAGATTTGTGAAGTGTTCGGCGCAGTCATGTTACCCCTCCTCCGTCGCCAGATCTCAAGACTAGACGTTAGCCGTAGTCAGTTGGCAGCGGAAGGAAAACGTGTACGAAGTGTAGTATGCTCAACAAATAACGCCGGGCGGGTTGCAGTATAAGAAGCGCATTTGGGCGTGCCTACGCGCGCATGCAAAATCACCGCATTTTGAACCAGCGTCAGTCATTGATCAATAATCAACACGTGACACTTCCCTACTGAAAGCAAACGATAGGACACTCAAAAACTGAATGCAAATATAGACGAAAAAGTGCATGTGCTTTTTTCCTATTCCTATCCTGTTTTCTTATTCGGCCATGATCCTGATGGCACAATATCTGTACCACCGATTATGACATATATATATATATATGTAAGAAATATTTTTCGCCAATATCTAACGTGCAAGCTCAATTTTCATCTGTCTCTAAACTTGTCTTGAATTTAACGCTTCTTCTCCATTCTCAATCCGCAGATCTTTATTTCAACGGCCTGGAGATAAATATGCCTTGATTACCATTTCCTTAATGCACAATTCTCTCAGCGGCTTCAGCTCCTATGAGTTCGGCCTCTACAAAGCTGTTTCTCATCAAAATATTCCAATTTCACATAAGACCCGCATAATGGCTGCGAACAACTCTGCAGGATTCGGCTCACACATCTCCGAGGGCTGCCCATGCGGAGGCCTTGTGAATGCCTCCGTCTCTAGCTCAAATCCTTTTTGCCAGGAGCCCGTCATATCCTCAGTGTGGCTTGAACAGGGCGAATATTTCTTTGACGATGAATTTTCCCTCCCATTAGATACCCATTTCAACGGAAATCTCTCTGGGCAAACTCCGAATGGTATGACAGTTTCTCTTGATGCACATTTGTCTTCGTCTCGCGCTCCATTGCAGCTTGATCAATCTTACTGCGATTCGTGCATTTGTACTCCTGGAGACTCTGGAGAAATCGACTTGACTAGCGCCGATAATGAACGAGTACCGTCTAATCTGTGCTTCGTTGATACCCAAGACCACTCTGGTGACCAAACCGGCCTTCTTAACCAGTCCCTTGTAAGCGAATCTGGCCCGATCATTGACCATTCACTCACCAATCTGCACCCTCAAAACGATGAAGAAAAATCATCACTTGGGCGACAACCATCTTACGGTACCTCTCTACAATCCGCTAGTGGCTCACAAATTTCTGGACAGTCTTGTTCTGCTAGTTGGATGCAAATGGTAATGGAACGGTCCTGTAACCCCGATCTAAAGGCCCTTCTGAGCCGCGCAGCCGCTGCGATTGATTATAAATTGGTCTATGGGGACAGCCTTCCAATGGATTCTTCCACGAGTTCCTTCTTACGACAGTTGATTTCAGAGAAGACGGAAGCATTGAACAAGGTAAATTCGTATGCAATCAGCCGCTCATTAAGCCAAGGTAATTTGTTTGCTGCTGCGAGTTTAGCTGGCCTACGTCTGGCATTAGATCAAGCAGCGAAGTTTTTGCCAAAGCCTGATGACACAAATTCTCCAGGGAGGACGGATGTTACACAAGCTAATACACAGATGCTCACAGATGCGAACATTTCTGGTTCAGGCGATTCTAATCATCCGAATACAACAACATGGGCTCAGAGGCATGGTAGTCGCGAAAGTTTAAAACGCCTAAGCTCCAAATTGAAGGAAACAAGCACCACTGCTGTGACTAGACAGACCAACGCAGATGTCCCTCCTTCGGATCAAAATGATTCTAACCCATGGCGGGTGATGAAACGAGCAAGTGGAACTCTGATTACATGGAATCAGTTAAAGCGTACCATTAAAAAGGAACAGCCTTTGTCCAGAATAGCAACGGTACGCAACAGCAGACGCGACCAGCGAGACGCGGATAATGATCTCACTGCCAATATCACTTCTGATACATATCTACCGGACGCTGAACAACTCTGCAAACCCTCTAGTCGCTCTCGCTCTCAGCCAGTCTCAACGAACCATTATATGCATCGTTTTTCTGGTACTTTACTCGAGCTGTTTATGCGTGCAAAGGCCGAAGAGATGAGTCTAGCGAATCATCATCAGAATTATGGTTCATCAGAAAATGCGCCTCTGTCGAACCATTTGAAGCAGAACACTACTGCACCGCGTTCTTCACTCCCGTACAATCATCAGCTACACAACATCTCCAATAATCTGCTTATCGAGGCAAGCAAGCATCCTCTATTGCGCGGTGAGCGGATCCTTCCAAAGCAGCTGAACCCATCGGACTTTTCACGATTATCATCCAGCATGATTGCCACGCAGAACACACGGATAGTTTATAACTTTGGTGCTCAGTTCCCACCGTCTGATGCATCGTGTCAGATGGCTGACTCAACAAGCTTCACCGGTCCCGCCCCCGTGAGATGTGTTTCACCCGTGACTTCCGTCACACCGATCACTCGGCGTGCACTAAAACCTGGAAATTACGGGCCACTGAGACACAGTCATCCAAGACCACAATCTTATGGTTCCAACAGAGCTGGAAAACAAGTACAGACTTCTCCCTCTTGTTCCAAGTCCTCAGGTTTGGCCACCTGTCTCACCGCTTCTGCTGGCCCAGATTCCCCTTATATGGCAGCTTTGCGGGCTACCTGTGTGGCCGATGGTTATTCTGCTGGTTGGTTCGGGAATCCACGTGCGTCTATCGCCTATCCAGGACTTGGAGTACTCTCGATACCAAGACCATCTCGCCTCACTAGCGGCTCCTTTTTGTCCCACACACTACCTGATCTGTCATTTCTGGGCCAAGCAGGTGCTGAGGAGGAGCGTAAAGGAACACCCACCATGCCTAAACGCTTTGTTGCTTGCAGATGCCGCACTCAATCACATGCTGCGGAGAACCGATGCTCCAGATGTGGTTGTCGCCCTCAGTCAGTCGCCCGTACTGGCTTATTCAAAGCCAACAACCGCCTGTCTGGAAAAAGGAAGTCGATGGAGCTGAAGACTTACTCTTTTCCTCCTGATGCGATTGATGGGAACAATACACTTTGCGCGGTGCCGGATCTTGTAGCTGGTCATCCTAGCCCCATTTTGCGGCAAAGCACTTCTGATAGTTCGAATCCTGCGCCTGATCGAAATATTTTCTCGAAAAACGCTGTTCATTATCAGGTAATTTGCTTGTTTTCCATTCGTCGTTTTATTTTACACTCGTGTCTATGTTTAACTCCGATCATTTAATTTCTCGTAAGTCGTGCTTCATGCGTATGTTTTTTTTCTCAACTCGGCAATGCCCTGCCCACATGGCCATCTTTGCGACTTGTTGCCTTTTACCCTTCGGTTCACACCGGTTATTGATGATACTTGGAACTTGCTCATCACCTGAGCTGTGCAACGTCACATACGCATGCACTGCGATTCCAGTGCCATCTTGGATGTTAGTTACCTTCGAACCTCTGCTCACCCATTAGTTCCTTCTTGAGTGCTTACTTCGTGCATTTCGGTTTATTAGGATTACTATGTTTACATTCCTATAAGGCATCCATTCATTTGCTTTCTTCGGCCTCGTTTGTCGATGATGATATAAAGATGCTGATTTCTTCGCCATTTTACAAATGCCAGGAACAATCAGGCCACTTAAACAGACCACCCAATCTCATTCCGCGTTCTTTTTCTCATCCATTTCGTCCTGTTGACAACGTTATCGTTAACCTATCTAGATTTTAGCTTAACGACTAGAACAGAGGCACACAAATGTGTTACCCATTTACTGTGATGGTAGTGACATTGGAGGAACCTGTGGTTTAGACGCGAATAAACTTAGCGATAAATCTCATTGGGTAGGGAATCGAGTATTGCGGTCCTAATGTGGTATAGTTAACAACTACATTTTCGATTGTATGATTATCATCTGCTTCCTGGCTGCAAAATGTCTGTGAGAGTCTCTACTCTCTCATATAGCCAATCTCATGGCCCCAATCCGCAAAATGACATGTTTATGTTGAAACATGATACACGATCGGATGAACTAATTAACATTAACACTTCACTCGTTGCTCCCCAACCGTCCGTCTACTCGACATCCGCTTTACAATTCACTTGAGCATCCACCACAAGTTCTGATTATCACGCATCACTGTGTAATAGAATTCATGTTTGACATCCTCTGTGTTGCACCGAGACACCAATACGATTCAGTCTTTATGATACAAACTGTTCACTGACGAAGCTTTGGTATCGAACTGCACCACTGTTCATTAGGACACGTTCGAATGGAATGACTAGTTTTATGCTAGGCGCCGAAATCTTTTAAGCAGCGCTTCATGCTTTTCCCCCAACATCCCCAGATTCATGTGGAATCCGAACAACGCAGCCATTGGTTTCATTGGACCAAAATATTGGTAGTCATTGTTGGGGTTTGAGATGTTGCCTTTTACGCCAAGCTAGACAATTCGATTGCAATGTTTCGCTTCCAATCGAGCTGACGTAGTATTGAGTCGCAACTAAGAACTAGTCGATGGCCTCCGAGTAGTTAAGGTGTCTGGCTTGTAATCAAGGAGTCATCACTTCGGGCATGCATAGGTACAGGCTTTGTCACATTATTCCTAACCCGCACTCGAACTACTAATGGCTGTCAACGAAGGTTGAGTGCGATTCACAGACGTACTGAGTTCCCAGGTAAATTTCGGCTTTACATCGATTTGCCGTGTGATGAGAAAGTCCAGCGCCATTGCCATTTCCAACCTGTCGTTCCAACTTAGTCAGCACAGTGGTTCCTGAAAATCCCAGTAAGGGAGACAATGACTGAAAAGGATGGACAGTAGTCGCGTTTACAAGTCCGCTTGGCTGAACTCTGAAGAACAATTCATCCGGCCCACTAGACCGATATTATTAGTTGGGTCACGTGGAACTACGTGGAGTGTTGATGTAACCCCTTTCGCCATCGACAGTACCCGACACGAGCCGGTGTCGATGAAGCGAAACGAGACCCCTTACCTAGGCGAACTTCCTTTTCGTTGGTGCTTCACGGTAGTGACTTGATAATGACTACTATAAATTTGATGTGTGACAAAGGACTTCCTGTGAGGACCGTCTTGTTTTCAGTCAGATCTCGATTTCTTCAAAATTACTAACATGCATTTCGTCTCGGCGATTCATTAATCCTTCTGAGCGACTTTTCTGAAGGTCAGATCGGCTTCCACCTTCCATGAGACTGCGTCGACCGCATTTTGACTCCTCGCCAGTTGCTTCAACTTATCTCTCTGGAAAGCCCATCTTGTTAATCTTCCTTCACTTGGATGCTGCTCCTGATTCTTTTGATCATGACTACAACAGTGCCTAACTTTGAAGTGCGCCTGAAATGTTTATCTCTATTCTAAAATCTTCATGCCGTACTCCACCTGGACTACGTGTAGTTCTACCTGGAACTGTCCTTGGTTCACCACAACAAGTGGAGTGCATCAGGTTTGCCCCATACCTCCATTTATACTCAACTTTATCATTGAACTGATCATGAAAGACGCAATGCTGCCTCTTTCTGCTTGTCCCTGGGGTCGACGGCCTACTTGGTGTTGCATTACCAACTTTTGAGTATGGGGACGATAAGTTCCTTTTTGCTGAGAGTGGTATTTCAGATGGAACAGACATATCAGCGAGACGCAGACAGCCCGTTAGATTCGAACCGAACGGCGTCGGCTATTGGCCGCGTCAAGCTCCGCTGATGGGATGACGGTTGTCGACTGCGATAGAGGGGAAACACTATTAGTGGAACTGTATCCTCGGTAATGGTACTGGTTGAAAAATATACATAAGAACGCTGTAGGAACGAGCTATGCTGTATTTTCCTGTTACCTGGCTTTTCCCCAGTGAGCCGTTTGCCCCTGAACGACTACGTTTCACGATACTTCTGAGCCCGAGACAACTGCACTGAAACGTTACTGGATTGGGATAACATGTGGCGCTGCACACTTCGGCATGTACTTTCAGCCTTCAAACTACAAATTACTGTTACAGAATTTGCTCTTCTCAATTTCAGTTGTCACTATCGTCCAACAACCGTGTGAAGTATTTAATCGATATACTTCCCTGAATGGTCACATTACCAGCGAGGCTTTTCAACGCCCCTGCAACTTATGGTGACAGTGTAGTGACTAATCGAAGAGTTTATGACGCTGCTAAACTACCACTGTTATGGAATGGACATGAGACTTGGCCGCTGCGCATCGTGAACTGTAAGTGACTCATCGTATTTGATCCTAGAGGCTTGTGAAGTATTGCTCATATCTAGTGAGAGAACCGAGGGAGGAACGCTGAAACTCGTTATTTCGTGTTCGACAACAGGCACTCTGGTGCCCCGTTATTGCACTTGTTGAAACAGGCGCCTCAGCTGGCCTTGCGCTGTTCAAGGCTTCTTCCTCAGCGTTTCTTATTTGTCAGTACTGCGCGCAGTCACGTGAACTTTTAAGGCGACCAATAAATGACATGGTAAAAAGGTTTTTGGGTATTCACCAAGTCTGTTGGACTGGAGTTAGTCACCTTCCTGGGGGCAGTGCCAAGTGGATGATTAGCCACTCTTTTGCTTTGGTCTGCTTATTTATGGCGCTTGATTATTCTACTTAATTACTTTACTTCTCCATTTTCTTTATACTATTATTATTATTATCACCATTATCTCGGCAACATGTGTCACGCCAAAAACTGTGCTAAACTGAGTATGGTGTTGCTTGTTTTAGGACTTGATAATGCTTATATTTTTCGACATCCGAGACAAGGGAAGGTGCTTGTGCTTCCCTCCATCTGTCCTTATCTTATGATTCACAAATTTTTCTGCGGTGGCCGAATTTCGGTATATTGCTTATCTACTTCCAACTTCCATTGATGAGAAAACCGATGTCGCATTTGTCTGACTTCTAGCCAATTATCAGCCTCCTATAATTTAGTCCAAAAGCAACCCAGTGGGTTATGGATGTGCGTATACTATCGCATAAGTGTTAAGGTCCAGTCTCATTGCAATTAGTACTGACTACCTATCTTGTATATGTATCGGTTATCATCTTTGTCTACATCGATTATTTGCCATTATTACCAAACCTTAGCGGTACCAATTCATCCGGATCCACCACATTGCTGTTGGGATCATGTTGATTGGTCAGGTGCGCTAGTTGCCATGAAATTCCGGATCCAGTTTCGCAGCTTCAATAACCTACTTTTTCATTTGACTACTTCGCCCGCTGGCAGCATTCTCTTCGAGAGCATTTATGGATACTTAAATTGCTTTTGAGGGAATTGGTTCGTAATCAACTGCTTTTTGTTCCATCGTGCTTTCACTGAGTGCGGTTTGCGGATTTTTCGATGGATAACTCATTGATCCAGATTCATCCACGAAAACGATTACAAGCATGCAATGCTCATAGTCAGACAGCGCAGATGTTATGTGGCTCATCCGCTTCATTACCAAGGAGCCATTTCATAGTTTCGAGGTCGGCTTCTAGGCGCCTAATCTGTGATTCGGACTATTCCTGCTTAGCCTCACTTTTAAGCCTTTTTTGACATATAACTCTGTGTACATGCCATCTACTTACTGTTTTAACCCTTTGATGCAGTCTTCGATTTCACACTTAAAATTTACGTAGGCTATTCTTCATTTTAAGCACAGGAACATCCGCCAACTTGTGATATGGCCTTAGTTGAAAAGGAACACGCATTGTCTACTGCTTAGTATCCATTCATAGCTTAGAGTATTGTGAACGTTGTCATGACAATCATGATTTCGGATGTTTGAAAGTGCGCTAATGTCTAGAATCGCTGTAGGAATACAGCGATAGTTCGCGACGTCCAACGCTACAATCATGAACCTTGTCGTATGAAGAAAAGTTTTGGAACGGCTGTCTCCTTCATTGGCTAGGCGAGACTCATTCGCTTAAATACTTCATTACAGTTCTTATTGTTCTCCGTTTTCTACTTCCTATTTTTCAGCATGGAGTTGACCGGTCACTATCTGAGCCCGATTTGACGTCAACCAGTCGCCTCACATCGCGATCGTTTAGGGATATTTCCTACGAAAAACCCAGTGTCCTCATTACATCCAGTAGTCATGCTTGCTATGATTGGGACTCGACTAAAGGTTCTGGAACGTACAGTCCTCCTAACCGACCGAAAAAGAGCGTCAGTTTCAGCGGCCACATTCGTCAGCTTCGTTTGCATGCTGACCGGGCAGGCGCGAATTCTCCTGCTTCCCCAGAACCGAAAGGTTTGTCTTTCTCCCCTCTAGTTTTATTGGTTTTCCATGTACCCCATTGTTTTTGCACATTTGTTCTATCTTATTCTTCCTGACTTTTTCTAGTATGCTCTGTTTTGCTAACACTGCTACCTTACTATGCATTGCTCGACAGTATTGGCGAACAGTGTTTCATCGTATGCGAGATGCTCGTACCCCTAGCCTCTCCTTATTGGCTCCCTTAAGCGATCTCTCCTCTCCAGTAACAGTCACATCGGACCTTGTTTTTCCTCTCTGCTAGACCCATTTCGCGGGCTAAATGAGTTCTGTTTTTGTTTGTTGTCAAGAGGGCTTCTCTGGTCCTCTGCTTTTGGCCTGCGTTTCCTCTTTTCCCATTTCCTTGGATTACAAGATCTTGCCGTAGGTTTGCTGAGTGCTTGCTCAATAGGCCTTTATTTCAACCTGCATGATTTTAACGATTGCGCGTCACCCATCCCCTGACCTGGCAGCGTATAGGCACATCACGCGAGATCACCTTTTCCTGTTCGTATTAGCCTCGATTTATACTACTACACCACCACCACCACCACCACCACCATACAGTTCCAATTTTAGCATTGAATAATTATACTTATCATGAGTAAGCATCCTTCTGCTGCTCACTAAATCACTAAAACTGTGATCACTTATTCCTCGTTCTCTCTACTCAGTGATTCCGAGGAACTGGGGTCTTTATGGCCAAGAAACTCCGTTGGCCGAATTTAACCCCCGAAGCAGTCCTGGGCGTGACGTTCAGCAGCCAGGTCAACTTGCGCGGCAATCTGATGTGGATGTTCGTTACCACGGTAGGTGCACTTCATTGCCGAACGTCCGTTTATCCAGCCACGGGGGAAATGTAGACATAAATTTACTTTTCCATCCTTTCAGGTGATGCTTCTTATCCCCCCAACAGTTGTGTAGTTGATTTTGTTCGGCCCACTAGTCCTCACTGACTTCTTGTTGCCAAGTCCACACAACAGTTGTTCACTTTTTGTCCATAGTAACCGCATCTTTTTTCTTTTTCTAGCGATGGTCAGCGACGTCATTAAAGCAGTCCAAGAAACAGTTGCTTACTATTCCACCGCACCATCAGCCGCCAACTCGGATGTGCAACCTGTCCCCGATGGTCGATCATGCGTTGAGCCTTTACCTTTCTCTACTGTGGCGAATTTGGGTAGCACAGGGCGCCAGCCGCTGCTGGCCGTCATTGGACCATTGACCGTGCTCTTATGTGACGGTCTCCTACCACCAACGAAGCCTATTTTCATAAGTAAACCCCGCACACGACTTTGGCAGATGGTTGAGGAAAGCTGCAGACCCGGTCAGTTCCATAAGTTGTTTTAAGCCTCCAACTAATTTGGTATGGCGTATTTTTGCTCACTGTTAACTTTTTCTTCATCTTCAATGACTATCCGATGCGCACTTCCATGTATCTGTATGATGCCAGACTGGGTAGTCTCTCCGGGACAACCCTTTGCCTTTGAAAGTACACACATATCCCAGTGTCTCACTCGATGCTCACTGATGGACCCTTTGAATCATCAGGCTTTTGAGTTCAGAGCACCAACCAATGAACCATCTTGATCGCATCGCATTTTTAGCACTCACTGCATAAAACGACAGTGCTGTTAAGCGGAACGCGATGGACAAGGACTCATTAATTTAGGTTGGTTTATGTGTCTGACTATTTTGATCCAATTTTATCTTTGCCACGCGTCTCGATCATTCAAGCCAGTTGATTTGTATTCTCTCGTCTTCGTCAGCCCATCCACCGATTTGATTTGTATCTTCGTTCTTCGAATCTTTTCGCCTCACTCTCGAAGCCAGGAATTGGCTGCCCCAGGTAACATCCAACTTATTCCTTGAGTCAGTAGCACAGCGGTTTTTATACAAAAATTCTCATCATTCAAAGAGGATAATGATGAGATTTACTGGATATGACATCTGGATTCATCGAAAGTCGACCAGCGGCTTACTGTTTCAGGCCTGTAATTTCCTGTTCCAACCTACGTAGGCGCGGGTGACTTCGCGGTAACCGTAGCTCGCATGCGATTCTTGATGTTCGCGTATCATCATGGTGTCGGTACGCGGTCTGGGCCTACTGCTGATACCTCATTGAGATAGTCTCAGCTAACCTACTGGATTTGTGCACGACCTATTCTCAAGACTGCTTGATCCGCTACCCGGAGTAGCGATGAACGGCGTTCTAGACCAACAATTCTGTTCGATCAAACATTTAGTGGGCTTTCTGGATGCTGTGGAATAACCAGGCGTTGTCTGTCGAACAAGCCTCCAGGCTAGTGCTACTTGTAAGTTATCGAGTTTTATTGAATAGCCAATTATTTTCAGATTTGCCTTCCTATGGAAAGCAGCGTCGTATACGATAACTTCCGTATGTTCCATGCAATTCCTGTCGTGTCTCTCCTTGCCAGGTCCCCTCACAGGTGTGGCCTACCGTGTGCTCACTGATGCGGTAACTCAGGTCAAAGCAATCACCAGTGTGACGTTGGAGAAGGCCAAATTTAAGGCATTTTTGTGTGCGTGTCTCAAGTGAGTTATATCTTTTGTCTGTCACATGGAGACAATGCGTTGAATTCTGTTTCATAACCTGAGTACATATGATCTTAAATAGTTCGAGGTCGTTTTTATTCACCTCAGTAAGTTTTCCCTTTGTTTAAAATATTTGAAATATTGCGCCAAATATCAGTGGTTACTTTGAGACAGTTTGTCCGGGGGAGATCGCTCTCCTATCGGCCAGCGCAGTCTTATCAAATCGTTTTTGTCAAGGCTGCATAAGAGATCTTTGACTTGACTTGGCTTGACTTCATTTGACTCTGTGTCCACACGCTCTTGGAGGAACGTCGCTTCTGGGTTTTGACACATCTCCGAAGTATATTCACGAATGTCAGCACTCCGGTTTCTGTCACACAGTATAGGGTGGTTAATGATGTTCATCCCAGTCAATCGTGCTTTTTTGACTTGTGATTGTGCCATGTGGCAATTCTGCCGACACTGTGATTACCCACTGGCTTCGACGATTGAATGACACCCCTACTCTCCTCTACCATACCATGCATTTGCCAGTCTTATCAGCCAGTACGTCTGTCCTTTTACAAAATGCTAACCTATCCCAATCATAATGGTATGGGCCTACTATTCTTGCGCTAAATACCTGCTTACATTTCTTTCTACTGAGGTACACCCATAATTATGATTACTAGTAAGAACAAGCGAGGTATTGTCTATGTTTGCATCTCTTCTAAACTTCCTTTCGGCCTTCGGCAGTCTACAAGCGTACTTACAAGATCCCCGTCGTAAGGAGACTGGCGCGACGGTTTGCTTACCTCTTCCACCCAATGAGTTATGCTGGGTGGTCCTGTGGCCCTTTGAGAGCTACTCCCACCAGCTTGGTCCATGGTTAGTGGTCAGACGAACTTAATCTCCTGATCCTCCAGGTTGTGGGTTGGAAACGGATTAGCATCAATTTCTACGAACCAAAATAATTACCACCTCTCCGCTGTGTTGCGCGCAGGTTTTTGAGCCAAAGGCTTTAGTCGAGGACCCTAATTGTTCTCCTCTCTAGGTCTGGGCGCCCTGCCAGTACCTCAGTCCACGTACTACCATGACTAGCTCTTCAGAATTCAACCACATCGTGCATTGACCGTCGCGCAGATTATCAGAAGTCGCCTTATCTGCTGCATACAGCAGGGTGGGTAAGCAAAGACATGCTACTGCTGGTGCCTCCCTTCTTTCTTTCCACCTGTTTCTCTTACTCCTCCATTGATAGCCTTCCTTCTATAATTCCCAGCTTAATTGACAGTAGCCGCGATGCCACTGGAGTTCGACCGTCTGGAGCTGTCTTCCCGTACCACCCACTGTACACTACTCGTCAACTGCCCATCCCAAGGCCACGCTGTCCGTTTCCCTGGCGGCGTTCAAGTTCGCATTTTAAGACAAATGGGTCAATAGGTTGCACTCACGCGTACGTTGGACACTCTGGGTATTGACGTGTGTTGCTTGTCAAAAACTAGGATCAATGACCCACATGTGGTTGTTGAATTAGCTGCACCCGATTTGTTCTCTCGCTACTGGTTGCATGCAACCGGAAACGCTGATGCGGAAACCACTGGTTAGGCTGGATTGGGCATTGTGCTCAGCTTTAAGGGTGAGTGATCGTTGGTTGACTAGATTCCTGTAAACAGCTTTTGTGTACAGTTCGTCTGACGACACCAGCTAAGGTTGATTCACGAATAAACTATTTATTTCTTTATTTAAGTAGAACTAAACGTTTATCTGTGTTTTCCGCTTATACTCCCACCGACTGCAATTCCGATGCTGCAAAGCACGCCTTTATCACCAACTGAACATGCTACTACGCAGTGTTACCAGTTCATAGACCATAGTTCAGGCAGGGGATATGAATGCGCAGGTAGGTCGTCTGAGCTCCTCAACATCTTTGCTAGGTGGGACGTATGGACTTAACTTCAACCGTACAAACAACGGTGAGCGTCTGTTATAGCTGTGCTAGGAGCACCGGCTGTTTCTTAGCACCGCTTTTAGACACAGTGGGCGCCGAAGTGCCACTTGGCGTCCTCTTGTAGCTGGCCAGCGATAGACCCAAATTGATCACGTTGCCATAAGTTACAAGTGGCATCGTCCCATCCTGGATTGTTGCTCGTGCTGGAATACTTGCGTCGACTCTGATAATGACTTTGTACGCTGTTGTTTTTCCATGACCTTTACCGGGGGGCATGTCAAGCGTCTCCCTGAATTGGCAACGGAGAAATTGTCTCAGCCGTCGGTCAGGAAAGTCTATCAGGATGCCTTACGTACCAAACTTAGCTCTCTTATCCTAATGACACTGAGCTTCAGTAGAATAGGATTTTGAACGCCATGCACTATGCAGGAGCCTCCGCCTGCGACACTATCAATCGTCACTGCATTAGTCACTGGATATCCGAGAGGTCAGTGAACCTTTTGGAATCCAGAATAAAACTCCCGGTTGGATTTGGACACAATGTAACTAGGCGGATTGTTATGCGCGCACTGAAACGGGGTCTGCGTGCTGAAAAAGAAGCCTGGTGGAATTGTAGGACTCGAGTAATGAGGCAAGCAGGAGCAGCAGACGATTATCGCCAGCTCTTCCAGCTGATCCGCAACAATGGCCCCAGAAAACCAGGCGTCAGTGAGAGGATTAGAGACAGCGCAGGCGACCTGATTCACAATAAGGAGCGCCGTATGGCTGGTTGGGCGGAGCACTTTCGAGAACAGTTCAGTTGTCCCCCTGCTTCTGGACGTCTTCCTACTCAGGTGTTGCAGGATGAGCAATAGACGGCTATTTTTGAGGCCTCATCGGAGGCTGAAATCCGAAACGCGATCACTGCTTTTAGTTCTTTTCCTGCTGCGGGCCCGGATTCCCTCCCGCCTGCACTGATTAAGGATAGCGGTGGGGTCCTCTGCGAAGCAGTGACCTCTGTTCGAACAGCTCTGGAACGAAGGGACCATCCTAGCTAACTGAAGTGAATCGATTATATTGGCAATACACAAAAAGGGCGGCCGCATTGGATGTGCTAACCACCGGGGTATTAGCCTGACGCTAGTTGTAACTTAAGTTCTCGTTCGTCACCTCCCTGCGGAATGAGGGTCCAGGATATGAGCGTGTTCGGCGTCGTGTATTTGGTGTAGAAATAGCCAATGAACCGCTTAGCACCATTATATCACGCACCAGGCTCCGGTGGTTGCGCCACGTGTTGCGCATGCCAGCACACCGGCTCCCGCGACGTGCATTGTTTGCGCGCCGGGAGTGCGGTTGGAAGAGAAGGAGGAGGAGAGGCCAAGTGATGACTTGGTCGAGAGGAATGAAAACCCTCACTTCGAAGTTGGCGTAGGTTGGTGCATCCCGACTGCCTGACTTGGGTCCTAAGGACGTTGAGCACGTTTGGTTGGCCACACATGCTGATATGGCCAAGAGCCGGCGTTTGTGTTGTGTTTCTTTGTCCATCCCCTCCCTTTTAGATTCCCCCCCTATTCCGATCTCCTAGGAATTGCATAATATATTATTTAACATTATATTACCTGCCTTGGTGATCTTTTGTAATGTATTTTTTGTACCTTACCCTTTTGTACTGCGGCACGTTAGCTGCGGTGTGCTTCTCACCCTCAATTAATGTGTATTTATGGTGCTAATGCTGCTGCTGCTGCTGCTGCTGCTGCTGCTGCTGATGATGATGATGATGGTGATGATGATGATGATGATGAAAGGTCCAGGATTAGGGAACAGCAAGCAGGCTTCCGCCCAGGATGGGGCTGCATAGGCCATATGTTCGCTCCGGAACAGGTGTCAGCACGTACTGACAGCCGACAATAGCTGTGTTCCTCGACTTTAAGAGTGCCTTCTACCCAGTCGATCGATCCATTCTATTCGAAATACTTGCGCGGAAATGTGTTCCCATCTAATAGGGGAACAATGCGCCTCAGGGTCTACGGTAGCTTGTCTGATGTCCTTCCGATAACAAGTAGCTTTCACCAGGGTTGTCCACTTTCTCTATTTTGTTCAACTTCGTCGTGGACTACATCACAAGTTCATTAACGCAGTAAGAAGACATAGGTTGCGATATGTCAACATTTCGATTGCTCTCGTCAGTCGTGACACAATACAGGCAGAACAAAATACGCATTAATTACGGTCCACACTTAGTAACATAGATGAACACACAAAATTGATGTAAATGACGTAATCATGTCCATGGCAATCTAATTGATTGCCTCAGTTGTTACTGGACACAGAGCGCGGGATAATTCAACCTTATCATTAGCGCCTCGCCAATTGCCAACAACTTCGGGTTCTTGTTGCTCAAAAACACCTTGAATGAATCGAATGGGTTCACTTGGTGACGAGTCGTCGTTAGGTGTTTAGATAGACGAGGCAGGGTTCCGGTTCTTTCTTTGGTCCACTTCGCCTTGGTGAGACAGCAACTGCCTTAGCCACAATGCGAAGTGTTCCGCCACCCTTTGAGCCAACCAGCGACCAGTCCTGTCGATGTAAGTTTCACCGCAACTGCAAGTGAATTGGTAGATGATGTTAAAGGCTGAACTGATTGGCGAGCTACTCGTGTGGTGTAAGTCGTAGTTGGGTGGTAGAGTAGGTGTGCATTAGAGCGGACCTGAGCTTGTGATAAACATCATTTGCCACATGATGCCCCTTGAACGGTAAGAACAAATAAACCCTCCTCCGCTGTTTGTACTGACAGCTTCTCCTTGGGGAGTCTGCTATGGGTCTGAATGAATTTCTCCAGATGCCCATTGGATAGAAGATTCTGGTATAAAATCATCACAAGTGTTCCCATGCGAATCTTCACGATACAGGCATAGAGGTGCGACCTGGTGATACGTTGGTTGATCTTGACGATGTGGACGATATTGTCTTGCTGTTTCACTATGTTGAGACGGTCCAATCAACCTTTACTTACCTTTCTAGAGTGGTTTCATCAGTTGGCATGCGTTTCGCACCTTCAAAGTGCAATGTTGTTACAGGACCACCAGCCACTTGATGACTCCATAACCCTTGGTAGAGAGGGACTCGGGGTAGTTGGCTGATTCACTTACCTGGGCACCTGCATCAGCAGCAATGAACGCCTAACCACTGAAGTCAATTCACGCATTGCAAGAGCTAGATCTGCGTTCTGGAATCTGTGGCGTCAGAAAGGGGTTTCCCTCGGTCTGAAAGACCATGTTTACAAGGCCAAAAAGAGGGCCGCACAGCATTTTGGGTTAGACTTGGCCCTCCGGCATAAGAATTTGAAGCACCTTCAAGTCTCTGATCATCGCTGTCTGCGAAGTATTGCTGGTGTAGGGTGGCATCAGCGTGTCCGCAACGATGATGTGCGTAGGCAAGTGTAAGGCAGTGATACTCATGCTAGTTCCTTAGAACAACATATAGCACTGAATAAGTTGCGTTGACTTGGGCACGTACTGTGTATGCCTGGTCACCGCTTATCGGGGAGGGTTTTCTTTTTTTGCGATGTAGCGTGACGTAAATCCCGAGGTGGGCAAAAATTAACTTATCATGGGGAAACGAAATTACTGATGATTACACTGGTCGCAGTTACTCCGTCTCGCCTTTCAGGCTGGAATCCACTTGACCGGCCTTGTGCTTGGCTGGAGACATTGCAGGACATGGCTCGTAGTTAAAGCCATTGGCCTGTCTACTATCTTCTCGTAGTCAGACTGCCTGTTTAAAGTGTGTTTGGTGCTGTATTATCTGCGGTGTAATGGCTGATTATAACGCAGGGCAGTGAAAGCCGCAAGGAAGCTGTCTCACCGATGCCGCTTTATCTTTGCACGATAGCCAGCTGTTTGTGACGGTGTATTGTTGCCACAAGTTGTATGCATCTTGACCGTGAATTTTTGTTTGTGGCATTAAGATTTTGCACTAGGTCACCTTTCCCGCTTAATGTTCTTCGTCCCTTAGGTCATTGTGTTTGTACGGCAACGAAGAAGCAGTCCAAATGGCTGATGTACTGCTTTTGATGTTGATGACACACGAGTTTCAGCCCCACCAACATATAACACGGTTATCTTTCCATTCTGTCCCTTATTACATAATCCATAAACCATGATCATGTCTATGCAGACCTGCCTCGATTCTTCTGACTGGTCCACACTGGCTCCAAAATTCATAAATGATGTGCCGATAAAACTCGGTATGTAAATCATCGCTCCCGAAATGGCGGCGTATCTCACCTATCAAGAGAATAAACCCATTCATCTTTCCGTTGTCACTGACGATCCGCTTGACTACCACCCCGACCAATTACTCGATCTCTCTTCGCTTAACTATGAATGGCTTCACCGGAAAAGTATACACAGGTGTGCACCTACTAGTCACCTGATCTGAGTTAAACCCAAAAGATAACGGTATTTCTGGCACCTGTTTCTTACGTTCACGTGATCACTTTGGCTCAGTTTTTTATAGGATCGCCGAGCGATGTGTCGATTGCATTGACTACTGTTTACAACGTTTGGAGGCAATCAACTTTGGGTAGGTGACTACAACAAACGGAAGCTATGGCATATGGCCAAGCATGGTTCCGTAGGTCGCATGCTCTTGTTCCTGCTAGTAGTATTTAGTTGGAATCGTTTTCGAGCTGACAAAACCATCAATCAGGGTTTCCCATTCGAACAAATGATGCCGATTGCAGGTTGACCAGTGTTACCTCTCCCTCTAATCTCTCTCTCAGTTACTTTTACTTGGAAGGCTGTTTGTTGTTCACAGTATCACAGTATCTTACAGGGCATTTTTTCGAAAATAGTCGGGACTATTACGGCTCTTTCTTGTGGCAACGACTTACACCCAAGCGAACTGGGTTATTTTCGCTTACCATAAAACTTGCATCCAGTATTCTCTAGATTTGGCACGTTGGAACCTCCTGGCAACCTTTTCGCTTCTCAATAGTGTTTTCTCCCTTATATGCATTATGGCACGCCTCGTTTTTGGACCAATAGCTGCGTTACTGTCTTCTCTGACTGCACCCCATTGTCAAGCGGTTCGTGTAGCATGTCTTCCGGCTCTTTGCTATGGGCGTTCAGAAATGTTTTGCTATGACTGACGCAGTTTATGGTTGGTGTTCGCGCTTCTAGTCGCATTTCAGACTAACTGCATCTCCTTGGATTTGGTACGCTCCCAGTTGAAATAGAGTGCGAATATTTGTGACTCCTGCAGAGTTTTCTAGCTTAATTTGGTGTGCACGTCATTCTTAAACGTCGTTCGTCGTCATGGTGTTGTTGTCAAAGTACATCCGTTGTTGACTTGCACAGAATACTCTTGAAACAGCAGACTTTGACTACCCAATAACTTTATTTTGTTCTCACTGCCTTTCAATTCGTTGTATTTCTTCAACGAAGAAACCAGCGCCTCTAAGTGCAGCTTTTATGCTTACCAGCTTCACTTGCAATCCATTTGTATGTGTCTATCACAAATGATCTACATTACTGAGCTTACCTACGACAATGGACTTCGACCTACTGCACTGGCTACTGCCCAATTTAGGTTTTGCGACATTTGGCTTTTGTGTGCGTAGATTTTGTTGTTCTCTACGCATTTATGTTCACTTTCTCCCATCCTGCTTTTAGTGCCAAGGCTTTACCTATGTGGTTGAACGCTGTCATTGCGAACGAGACTCTTTTGAATCGGTTCTACTGTACCGATGCCTTCGTACGCCAATGTCGTACGAATTTACGTGGTTTGTATGCTGACCTACTCACTCATTTGGAGCAACTATTGGCATATCCGTTTAATTTGGATTTAACTGTGGAGGCTCGCAAGCCTCTCTTTGATCACAATTCAACAGCCCAAAAATACTGTACACCTGGCCATTCACCTCCCAGCTCTAATGGACAAGTGGTAAACTCTGTTGCTAAGGTGGGTTTTTTATAGTTCACATCTTTCCTAGTGATTTCTTTGGCGATTTTTCCACTCTTCTCATGCCAATCATTGGATGCGTTTCTATCACAGATAGTCCAATTCCAACCTTGTCCGTTCGTAAATATGTTTCACCGTCACATTTTCTCGACTGGTTTATACTTTCACTTGTAGCGCGTGTTCGTTTTTCCTCCATCTAGAAGTAGTCTCCAACCCTGAAATTCGTTGGCATTCAGAAAATCACTAGTGCCCTGCATCTTCCGTCGTACGATGTTTTGTGCACAGCAACGCAGTATCACCTGCGTTTCCGTATTCTCTCTTTACGCTTCCACGAAGCTTCCATGTGCATACTACACTTTTTACTTGTTTCTTGATGTGTTAGTATTCGTCGCCTGCTCGTTTTTTTAGTGATAACCCTAGCACACATCTACCTTTTTTCTTCAGTCTTCTTCCTCTGCTTCGCTCTTCGTTACTTTTTCAGAATGCACAACGGTCTCCAGCTCCTCCAGCTGTGGTCGTGACGCGAAAGACGCATCCGACGGGCAACGCAGTTGGTCAGCTTCCCACTTGGTCGCGATTCTCCCCACCGCCATCCGGCTGCAGTAATGGTGGCAACAGCAATCTCGCCAACATTCACCACTACCCGCAGCACCACCTGCCAGGACAACGGGTTGTCTCTGGTAAAACTGTCACCCGCAATATGCGCGCTGGTGTTACACAAAATGAGGATTTACAGGGAAGTAGTGCATCATCTGATCTCCGCCTGCCGGATTCTTCTAGAGCCAAGCGACCGACCAGCACTGCAGTGCCCGTCACCAGTCCAGTATCCTCACAAGTTCGAGGACGCCTTAAGACTGCGTTATCGACCTTTCGTCGAACCAATACTGCGACTCCATCACAGTCCTCTAAAACACCCGACGGAATGGATGCGACGAACCGCTATGCTCTCGGTAGTGGTATACCTATGGTAGATTCTGGCTCTCGGATTCCTTGTAGACCCGATGTATGCTCACGGTCAAGGCCACCGAGAAAGGACAACACTGCAGTCGACCAGTGTGGTTCAAAATTGAAGCAACCTTCGTCGATCCCCGGGCCGCGCTGAGGCACTACTCTTTGGGTTTCTCTTGCACACATGACCTTACTTTTGCATTTATCTTTTTCCTGGTGCAATTAGGCACGCATAGCGCTGCTCAGCAACCCCATCACATGGTTATGGTCTACGGGTACTTTCCTGATTAGCGACCTGACGGTGTTTGACTTTTGTTTTCCTTTTTGCCACGATTTTTTGTTGCAGCTGTTGCTTGCTTAACAGCACTCCCAGTTCCGATTCTGTGTTTGGTGCTCACTGCTCGTCTTTTATCTTTTTCCACACTTGCTTCCTCTCCCAACATTACGCTATCGTGTCTTTCAAACAGCTCCCGCGACCACCAATGATAATCTGTTTAAAGTTATTCTTTTTGCACTCACATCCAAAGGCCGCCATCTCCAAATTGTGATGAACACCGTGACTACTCTTTTTTTAATCAACAATCGGGTTCTTTATTCTCTTGACCATTTCGGTACAATGCATAGCGCCTGTTTCCTCTCTAATACTCTCTGCTCTCTTCTCTCGGAAGTTTTCTGCAATTTAATTTCTTCGCTTCTTTACCAGTAGCACTTTTCATCACCGTGACAGCTATCAAGAATTTGCCCATCTCAAAATTTTACCTTTACATCTAATCAGTTTATCAATTGACGTTTGCATTCGTTTGTCCGCATATCTGCTGTACACATCCATCTGATCTCCTCATTCGCCACTCTGTGTTGGCCGTTTTTATAGGTTGTTATTTCTACCCGATCGAATGATGTATGTGTATGCCATCCGTTCACTCCTCTGTTCTCATGATTCCGCCCGCTACTATCACCTTCGTTCCTTTTTCCTTCATCAAACGTTTGGTGACTTTACATACACGCCAATCTGTGTGCGGGGTTTTTTGACCATACTAATTTGCGATTTGGCTGCTGTAGTGTCCCTTTCTCTATGATCATTAACATTTCTTCTCGACTTACTTTTCTCACTTGTGTACTGTTTCCCACGATTAGTTTGCTTGCGAGGTTGTGACTTATTCACTTATGTTCAGTTTTAATGTAAGAAGGTATCAGTTTCGGTTACCAGGTCTCACTCACACTCACTGCAGCTTTACAGACTATTTCCTTAACCAGCAAGCTCATGTCCCACTGTTTTCGTAAGGGGTTGAGGCTTTCAAAAACCATACAATTCTTAGCAATGCATGCAATAATCCCCCTGGTACTGGACTCACCAAGGTGATAGCTACCTGCATAATTGAACCGATCGACCACTTCAACCTTATGTTCGATGATTGGGAAAGCTGGTTCGTTATCGGCCCAGTCTTTTCTCAGTACTTTGCACCTGAAAGGTACGAGGCATACGCCGAAACACACAGCGCTACGTTGCATCCAATTTGGTAGTATCCACATTACAGCTAGGTCCTATCCATATAGAGCTACCATCCACGTATGCAAACTTTGGTAGCTGGACTGTTAAGAGAACCTCTGAACAAAGGCACGCTTCATCTGGACGGGCACCTTTACAGTTATGTGCGAATAACTTGACCAAAAACAGCCTTCAGGTCAACTCTGATCACCTTGAAACGTTTTTCATATGCGCTGTGACGTTCAAACGCTTGCTCATTTGCTCATTGTATGGGACGATATCACGATACTGCCTAATTCGTGCAGCGGTTTTCTACTGACTCGCGGTGAGCACCTTTGCTTACATTCCAGAGTACCATAGTAGTAAGCTACGGACATATTGCTCTGCGCATTCACATACACCGGACGCATAACTCGATCTATTCATATTGCTTTTAATGTTAGTAAAGGTCTCCGTTGTCCCCTTAATCCGTTTCGTGAAACGCGAGATTTGTTTATTGTTGTATTTTTGAGACAGAAGCACCGCATCTTTCCAGTTCGCGAGATTTGCTTATTGTGTACGCTTCGGCAATTTTTGCAATTTTGGCATCAACGTGCCGGTCATGAGTATATCAACAGTATATATATATATATATATATATATATATATATATATATATATATATATATATATATATATATATATATATATAGGCGGGAGAGCCTACGGTGCACTGAGGCTGGTGGTGGCTAAGTCCTGATAGATGGTCTACGCACTGATGCTACTCTTGTGCCATGGGCTCATGTCCTGGACGCCTCCTCGTGGCAACCACCGGGTGAGAGTTGGGTTACGCCCTTCTCGCTGTTAACATCCAGGACACCAATCCGTATGAGTCAGTGAACTGACCATGTGCGAGACCCGCTGCCTTTCGGGTGTACATTTAATCGAAGGCTTGGGCTGAGGACCCGCGTCGTCCTCCTGTCAGGTGTGGGCGCCCTGCTAATATCCTGGTCCATCCTCTTCGGAGGTTAGGAAGTGGTCGATGGCCCTTTTTCCGTAAAACCTAGCCATGGGAGACAACAGGATCTACGGGTTATAAGCTCACAGCTCGGTTGGCGTAGAGCGTGAGCGCTACACATTTTCTCTGATGGTGTGAGGGCACGTCCGGATGTTCACTGGTTTACTACTGCCCTCCTCAAGCCACGTAGCCCGTGGTCAAATTGATGCAAACCCTCGAAAACTCTCCTGCGCCTGGCCGTGGTCACAGGTGCGTATCTTACTGCGTTCGCAAAACACAAATGAATTGCCAGCACTTCAAAGGCTGCGTGTAACGGACCTCAGTCAGATCCAAATGGGTCGATGCAATCACATTCTCGGGCTGGATCTACTCTCCCCTGTCTTGTGGGTCAGGGTGTTGAGCCAAAGGCTCCGAGTGGAGTCCCTCAAGCAAACCACCGATGCACAGCTGCCACATCTCGTGCGATTGCCCATCAATGCAATCGTATGCCTGTGCGACAAGCACTCAGCAGGGGGTGCTGGAACGTGCGCTCACTACTTGACCTGGAACTTGAGTGAGCACCCCGAGCGACGCACTGCACTGGTCGCGATGGAGCTGGCGCGCTACCACATTGATATTGCAGCGCTCAGTGAGACTCGGCTCGTTGAGCAAGGTAAGTTGCATGAAGCAGGTGCTGGCTGCACATTCTACTCGGTGGGCAATGCCGCCTCAACGCCACGTGAACATGGGGTCAGATTTGCTATATTCGGTCGCCCCCATGACCACCTGATGGATGAACCAACAGGCATCAGCGCACGACTGATGACTGCTCGCCTACGACTCGGAAGAGATAACTTAGCCAATTTTATCAGCATGTACGGTCCGGGCGTGTGTTATCCTGATAACACGCGTGATCACTGCTACACTCAGCTATCCTCCGTGGAACGGTCTGTGCCGAGGAGCGACGGACTATTTCTGCTGGGTGATTTTAACTTGCGCGTTGGACGTGATGCGTCGGTGTGGACAGATGCTATCGGTCCGCGTGTCATTGGTTCAGCGAATGCGAACTGTGACAGGCTGCTCTCATTGTGTGCCACTCGGCCTGACGATCACGAACACTAGATTTGCACTGAGCGCGAGTGATATAGCGGATTGGTCGAAACAACAGTGTGGTCACGCTCACGTGCTCGACTATGTCATCGTGTTTCAGCGTGATATTTCATCCGCTCATTTAGTGAAAAGTTATGTCGCCGTATCTGTATGCATTATTCGATTTATTTTATTTGATATTGTCGTTTCAAGTGATTGGCTGATGCTTGATATCCCCGGTGTGGTTGCGCTTGATGTGCATGTTGACAAGGTGCCTACCTGTCTAGTACCGATTACCTCGTCCATACTGACTCCAGTAGACAGTTGGTCGTTACTGGAGGGGACAGGGTGCGCGGTCATTGTGACCGTGCTAGACTCGAAGAGTGGTTCCATGCACTCAGTTTGGAGCGGACTACGGTCCAGCTACCGCATTGTATGCGCTTGATACACAAATACACCGTGCTTGTGTTTGCCTGTGGCTCTCATCCACATGCCTTCCGTTCTTATTATTACGGGTTCACACTGGATATGGGGTGTGTTGGTGAGCTGTGGGTAATGCGGCGCAAGCCACCCGTGGTCACTCTGTAGGTGCAGGCGTCCTGTGGCTGGCCACAGTGACAGGCAAATCCGGAACCGGATTTCACTAACTATATATATATATATATATATATATATATATATATATATATATATTTGCGGGGGAGCCCATGGTGCGCTAATGCTTGTGGTAGCGGGATCCTGACAGATCGTCGACCCGCTGCTCCCAGTGTTGTGCCATGGACTCAAGTCCTTTACGCCTCGTGACGACCGCTGGGTAAGAGTTGGATTACACCATTTTTCTTGCTCAGGTCCAGGACACACAACTCCCGTGAGTCGCATCACTAAATTATGGCACACGGTCCGGTGGCTGAGGATCCTAGTCGTTCTGCTGTCAGATTTGGACACCCTGGCTGTGTCCTGGTCCAACCCCGCACCGTGAATCACGCCAATAATTCTAATTCCGTGCTGCATCTGCTGTCGTTCAGGGGCCTTAGTAAAAGTTCGCCTTATCTGCTGCATACAGCAGCGTGGATAAGCGAATACATGCAACCGCTGATGCCTCCCCTTTTTCTTCTTCCTCTGTGCATTATCTACCCGTCCTCGTTCCACTTAACCCACTACTTCCTCCAATCCAGGTAACCGCGTGCAATTGTTAGCCAGCGCAATTGTATGCATCCTCGCTATGTACTCAACCTCGGATGCTGGAACGTGCGTATCCTGCTCGACGGGCACACGCATGAGCGCATCGAGCTACACACTGCTACGGGATCGACACTGCATCACTGAGCGAGACTCGGCCCACTGACCAAAGCAGTTTGCATGGGGCTAGTGCTAGTTGCACTTTTTACTGGCTGGGGAACGCAACCTCAGCACCACGTTAACATGGGGTCGGATTTTCACTTTCCGACAGCCTAAATCGCCAGCTGCTGGGAGAGCCTGCTGGCGTTAGTCCACAATAGATGACACTACGCCTGTGACTTGGAACAAGTAAATTTGCCACTTTTACTGACACGTATGATGCAACTATGTGTTATCTTGATGACGCAAAGGACCAGTTTTACAATCAGTTATTCTCCTTGCTACGCTCCGTGTGGAGCATCGACCGGCTATTAAATAAAATAGTGTCAGCTGTATGCCGTAACGGCGCTTCGCTGCCGCGCGACCACCACCAGTCGTGCGCGGGCTGATTATACCATTAGGACGCCCACCCCTACGCGGATTCGAACCGGTGACCTTATGATCGCAAACCAAACATGCAGACCACTCGGCCACCGGCCGACCGGCTATTACTAATGGGTGATTTCAACACACGTGTTGGGTGTAATGTCACGGTGTAGACAGATTTAATCGGTCTGTATGGTATTGGCACAGCCAGTGGGAACGGTGACCGGCTGCTGTCACTGTGCACCACGGCCTGTCGATCACAAACACCCGATTTGCACTGGGTGCGGGTGATATAGCTACTTGGACGCATCCACGGAGTGGTGACGCTCACCTGCTCGACCATATCATCGTACGCCAATGTGACATGCGTGAAGTGTGCATAACTCGTGTACTGAGTGTTGAAGTGGTCACAAGTTGATGCAAATCAAACTGTACATATATTTTAGTAAATCTGTGCATTGTCCACCTGCCATGAACCAACCCTAATGAAACGTTCTTTCCTAGGTAATGCTGAGAAGAGGATGGAGTTGGAGAAGGCGATGGCTACCCACGTTTGCGATGTCAAATCCATTGCTTCCGTAAGCGACTTGTCACACATCCGTGAGCAGGTGACGGCTGCTGCCTAGGATACTATTGGGCAGCATAGTCTAAGCGGCCCGATTGTTTTGATGACAGCAATGCGACGATTGGCGTATTGGTTTTGAAGAAGAATGCACCGTTTACTGTGGATGACTCTGTTGACACAGAGAAGAGGGATCACTTTCACAAACTCCGACTGCGATTGACTCGTGACCTCTGTCGCGTCGTGAATGCATGGTGGGCGGAGGAGTTGCAGCAAATGAGA